AGTGCGCCTCGATCCGTTCACTACCGCTGTCTGGGCGCTGGGCGGCTGTTGTCCTCAGACAAAAGTAAAACTAAGTAGTAAAAGCTTCACAGGCAGCCCCCGCTGAAGGTGCCCGTTCCTGCCTTGAGTTACCGCAGCTTTCCCCAAGCTCCCTTCGCAGTGTTGGGGAGCTCCGTGCGCTTCTCTGTAGGAAGGCAGCAGCCCACGTCCTTCCCAAGTGACAGGGGCTGATGCAGAAGGTTATTGGTGTGTTTTGCTGCTCCTGGCTTTGGAAACTTGGGTTGCTTGTGTCGAAATACTTGTGCTGCAGCATTGTTGTTTGGGTACAAAACAGTGCCTACATGTATTATTTCCTGCATGGTTCTTTGGAAGAGCCGTTGGTAGGAACTCTCTTCTTGTCAACAACATGTTGACAACTTGTCCTTCTTTCTTGCTCCCTCTCTAAGAGCTGCTTTTCTGGAGCCAGGCTGAGAGAGCTGGGCTGGGACAGCCGGAGAAGAGAAGGCTCCTGAAGGGGACACCTTAGAGCAGCTCCAGGGCCTAAAGGGGCTCCAGGAGACCTGGAGAGGGGCTTTGGACAAGGGATGGAGGGACAGGACAAGGGGAATGGCTTGAACCTGCCTGAGGGGAGATTGAGATGAGCTCTGAGGCAGAAGCTCTTCCCTGTGAGGGTGCTGAGGTGCTGGCACAGGGTGCCCAGAGAAGCTGTGGCTGCCCCATCCCTGGCAGTGTTCAAGGGCAGGTTGGACACAGGGGCTTGGAGCAACCTGCTCTAGTGGAAGGTGTCCCTGCCCATGGCAGGGGTTGGAGCTGGAGGAGCTTTAAGGTCCTTTAAACCCAAACCTGTCCTGGGATTCGATGATTTCAGCTGTGAGAAATGAGTTGCTAAGATTTGGGTGGCCTCGTGTTCTCTGTTACACAGCAAAGTGCAGCAGGAGTATGCTCTTAAGAGCTTTTGTGCACTGTCCCTGTTCAGGAGACTTGGTGGCAGTGTTAGTTTATCTCTTTTTAGATTGTTCTTCTCAGTAAGAAGGAGGAGAAAATGATCTGATTTGTACTTGTGGTGTTCTGTAATCATTGTTTAGTTTGCAGTTAGGTTTGCATGTGTGTAACAGCCGCAAAGACATTGTGTTATGGGCTGTGAGAAGCAAGTGTCTGGAGGGGAGGGCCTGAGGTTAGTGGCTTGTTAGGGGAGAGCAGGAGGCAGCGAGGCCTGCACTGAGGAGCCTCACTGTGGGCAGCGTGGGCTCATCCGCAGTGCTCGAGATGGAGCTCCAGATTAAAAGATTTCATCTGTGACGAGAGAAAACACACAAAAGAAGTTTTGAATGTTCTGTAACAAGTCAAGGAGCTTTCATGGTGAGAACACTGAGTGCGATCCTGAGAAGAGCAGTGATTATCTCCCTTGGGGTGGGCCCTTTGAGAAAGCTGTACTGAGTGTGGAAGTGAATGAGTGAAGCAAAAGTAAAGGCTATCACAGTTCAGCTTGTTACAGGCATCTTGCTGACTTTTTGGGGATGTGTTTCTTGCACATATGAGTAATCATCACCCTGGTTTAAAGGTGTTATTCCTCTGGGATCTGCTGCATCTAAGTAGTGAATATGAACCCCAGGTTTCTGTGGGTGATCGATGAGGGGACAAGTGCTGGACAGATCTGTAAGTGGTCTGGAGTCATGCTCTGAAAGTGGCCAGGTCTTGCTCATCTTCTGAACAGCAATACATGCAGGCTTGACATGCCTGGACCAGAGATACTTAATATTCCCAATGTGGCCTCACAAGCGGAGCAGTTCTGACCACTGTGGTGGTGGGACACAGAGGGTCACGTGTTGGAGTCCCTCAGCACCTGCAGTCTTCATGTTGTTTGTGAACAGCATTGAACCTTTGGTTTGGAGTCAGCTCTGAGTGAAGGGTCTGTGGCTGCTCTGGGTATAAATTCCTCCTATCCTGTATGTACAGGATTTCCACAGTTGGCAATCTGGTGGTCAGTTTTGTGTTGATTTCTCTCTGAGGACCAAATGTGTATATGATAATTTACTTTTTTATTTATTTATTTTTTAGTGGTATTTAAGTGTCTAAGGGCAGGACTTTGGAAAGTCAGGAGCATGTACCTTACCTCTGCGTTATGATGTGCCTTTTAACTGTGTATGCCTTATTACTCATGTGCTTTGCAAGCAATAGTGAAAAAATGGCAAGTTTCAGTGTAAAAAAGGTTGGGAAGCTCCTTGTTGCTGAGATGAGGTTTAGAACACTTTGTGAAAGCATCCTGAGAAAGATGCTCTGAGAGACCGGAGTGCGAGCTCACAGAGCTTGTGTGTTGTCCTGCTCCACAGCCCCATGAAAGTAAAGGGACTTGGAGAAATACGAAATACAGCAACTTGGGTTAATGTTCCCCTTTCAGCCTCTTGGAGGGACACCACTAGGTTAAGATGAAACACATGTGGCTCTTGGTGATACCATCCTAAGGAGCGTGGTGTTTTGTGTGCCCGTGCAGGACAGAAGGTTGTCAGGCTATGGTGACAGACCTGACATGTGGAACAAATGGGAAATACACCCATTAGCGTGACGAAATTAACTGATGTCCCCAAGCAGATGGAACAGAAGGTGAAAGCAGTGCCTGGTGCTTTCTGTAAAGATACTGACAACCCAGTTAGTAAGGGGGGGGGGGGGGGGAAAAAAAAAAAGTAGCCTTTCTTCCAGGAGGTAGTGACCTGATGTTTTGATTAAACTTACTGAACAATGGCTTCAAGTGAAGCTGTTACCAGAGCCGGAGGGCTGGGCAGTGGATTAGGGGCTTGCTGGCTGCAGTGCTGTGATGTGACAGCTGGCTGTCTCATAGGGGATGTGGTTTATTGCAGGGGCTGTGTGAAAGCAGGCTCTGGTCCTGTTCCCGATCTCTGCCTTTGAGAACATCAATGTAAACACTTCAGATAACATGGGAGAGGCTTTTTAAAGATAGTATCTTCAGAGATCTTGTTGCAAGTGTTATGTTTTTTGGTATTGTTCAGCACAGAGAATGGAGCGACTCATGGTAAGGACCCCTCCTGTGTTTAAAGCAAACCCAGCTTTTGGTATAAAGTCTCAAAAAGAGTTGGATGTTTCTTTCTCTTTCTCTCCCCCCTGCATTGTGGCACTCCTTGTGCTGGCCAGGGCTAGGAATCTGTGTGTCTTCGTGTCCTCCCACCCCAGTCATTTCACTCCCTGTCCCCAACTGCTTGGCTCAGGCCATAGTGGCACATGTTCTCAAAATAACTGCCCTGTTCTTGTGTTTCCGTAGGAGGTGCCATCCTCTATTCCTTTGTTGGCTTTAAATCACAGGAATTAATCTGTAAACAAAATGACAGTTATTCTTCTGAGATCCTGCTGACGCAGGAGGATAGGAATCAGAGAGAAGATGGTATAATAGGGGAGGGATGAGGAGGAGGAATGTGTATTTCCATAAATAAGGGTTTGTGTGAGCACCAGGATCAGTAACACCCAGTTTGATGGCTTCAGGTCCCTTAGCTACCATCTGCTTGTCTAGTACCCAAACTGAAAGAAAAGATTCCATTTACGTTTGTGTTGCTGTAACATCTCTCAAGTCTGATGCCCTTCAGGATCTGAGCTCCTGCTTCCTGAGGGCAGTCTCTACCTGCGTGGCCATGCAAAGCACTCACTGGAATCACAGTGTTGTTCTTAAGTACATGTTCTCTAGTGTTAGGGAAACGACCAGGAAAATTCCTTTAGTGTTATTACTATAAAGACAAACTGGCTTTCAGAACTTTGGTAAAATTAGTAGGTACTTTTTTCCCCGGATACAGTGTCAATGGTGTGGTCTTTTTAGGAAAGACTTGAAATACACTGGTTTTATAAATGGTGGTGTGACAAGTTTGCCTCTTTCACAGTGATCTGGCCATAAATGAAGCCCTCTGCACTGTTTCCCAGATTAGTGTCTGTGGGACATAATTTAGCATAAAAATGTATCTTTGTTTTCTAAAACTTTGTTTCTGTGTCTGTTCATGGGTAAAAATAGTCTTTTTCTCTTTTTTAAGCATCTCAATGTTTTCTCCTCAGGTACAACGGCCGTGTTCAGTCTAATGTCTTTGCATGGCTTAGTGTATTTCCTTTGAGTTTTTCTTCTGGTTCCAAGAATTGCTCTGTCATGACACGGTATCTTTTATGAGTAATGGTGTAGTAGGAACAACAGCTACTCTCTGCTGTGCAGAGTAATTTACGTGATGTCACTCTCTGCTCATGCAGAAAACGGGTATGTTTTTATTTCATGAAGGTTCTGAGCCTTTTCTGTGTGGTTGTTGTTACTCTTCCCAGCTTCAGAGTGTGATTTCCTGACGGCTTTAAGGCTGGAGAGCGTGTTGGTGTGTAGGTTGTCTCTGTGAACAGACTCTGGTGCTCTAGGTTGTCCACCACCATACACATGATGCTGAGAAACAAGAAAAAGTGGGCACTTCCCCAGAGCGCTGGTGAATTCGCTGCGAGCTGCCTGGGAGGGGGACGATGCTGAAGCTGAATTACGGGGCTTGAATTTTTTTGTACTGAATAATGTTAAGGGTGATAACGTTGTTTTGAAAGTAGCAGCAGTTTGGTGCAGTTGCCAAGCCCAAGAACAAGATACTGAAGGAGAGCAGTGGGATTTTCCAGTTATGGCACTGGCTTAGGAGAGGTTTTCATTTAGAGAAAGAAGTGACCGCTTCCAGCCTTCCGGCTGAGTTTAGAACAGCTGTTTTCCTTAGGTTTCGTGTGAAATTGGAGGTGTTCAATTATTGTAGAGATTGTTCTAATTAGAGGGGGTTTAGTAATGGGTGTTTCCATGCTGACATACCTTTTTGAAGGTAAATTCTGTTTGTAGTTTCTGAGGCAAGAGCAGTAATAAAAGTTTATAATTAACTGGGGTATGACTACACCGTTGTCTCTTCATCTGTTTTAGTTCTAAAGTATTTGAGCGAAAGAAAGCCCTCCAGGACTGAGAGAACTTTGTATGAATAACATGAAGTCAAAGGACTTTGGAAGTTCATGGAATGAAGGGAGGATATTGACTACTTAAGTGACTGCAGCAAAACTTGGTAGTTAACAGAAAAAGAAAAGTTCTGGCTTGCTAAGGACAGGATGATCATCCCCTCGGATTTAGTCATATGAGAAGGGTAATGAGAGCTTGGCAAGAAACTCAGATTCTTATTCAGTGGTACCTGGATAGTTTGTTTCCCTAAACTTTCAGCTTCAGTAAGGCAAGTAACGGTGACTTGCACTTACGTTATGAGCCAACAGCTCCATGTTTTATGTGGAAGAAATATCATGCACACCCTCATGAACGTTGCTGTAAAAGCTGTAAAATGTCAATGGGAAGCATCAGCTAATGGATCACCTGTCCTTGTTTGGGGAATGCCATTAGCTTATATGTGGGTTTGGAAAGGCACTATGTATCTGATGGCTGGCCGTGTTTGCCAGCTTGCTCAGAGCTCTGCATTCACTAGGTGGCTGGTTCCAGCAGTAGTAACCTGAGAGCTACTTATGAGTAAATATAAAAATATTACCTAATACCTGCAATTCAATCCCAGCCCTGCAGTTTGATTTCCTTGGATGCTTCTAAATTCTTCAGTCAATATGATTTCCCAAAAGTCAGTGTTTTATCTTATTATATGATAAATAGTGCATGAAACTTTCAATGATGTTTCCATTTGGAAAGCAGAAGAATGAGCCTTACCCTGCCACAAGTTGAACATATATATAGTAGTGAGCCAAGTGGCTGTCTCAGGCCTCCTGCCAACTTTCCATGAGCCCTCTTGAGAAGCACTGTCTTGTCCTGGTCTGTGTTGGTTTAGCTGGCAAAGCTAAAACCTCTGCCCTCCTGTGCCCACTGGAGCAGGGAGAAGCACTTGTGCACACTGTGGCTTTCCATTGCTCCTCACCATGAACATGTGTGATGGAGTAGTATAGGAATTGTGTTTTCTTAATGTATGCAGCAGATACAGAATTTGGGAGTGAAATGCCCAAGAAAGCTCTGTCTTTGAGCAATGGAATTATTGGATGTGTGGCTTATTCCTTATGGTTTGGATATTAAGTTTTAGTTGAAGTGGGCAGTAGTATCAAGATGACAACTTGCATGCAGATTTCAATAGATCTTATTTTCTGAGTGAATATCAACTCTGAGGTAGTGGATGGGAGTGTTGTTGCTGGGTGCTTCTAATGTAAGAGAAGGTTTTCCTGCACACCTTGCGAGGGAACGTGAGGAGCACCATGGTTCAGCAAGACAGGGCTGTAGTGCTCCAGTGCCTCCTGACAGCAGAGCAACACATGAGTCACCTCTAGAGAAAAGGAGAATTTGCTTTTTTTGATCAGGCAGTTCCTTTCTCCTCCTTTCACAGCTTAAAGGGAAAGTTTCCTTTTTGTTCAGCTCTTAATGACCTCATCCCTTCATGTGAAGTCCTTGTAAATGGAAGCCTTGTTTTCTTCTAGAGTTGTATTTAACAGAACGCATTCAGAGAGGGGAATAATTGCACTTAGCTCACAAATTCGAGACCAGTAGCTTGTAGGAAACAGATACCATGTAAAAGAGTTTCCATGCACTGCTTCTTTCTGTAGCGCAAGCAACCAGGCAAAGCCTTACTACCAAAAAGGTATTAATTAAGAACACCCCACCCCCCCCCATTGTACAAGACTAAAGTCATTCTTTCTTCTGCGGTTGTGTGATATTTTTGGGTTGTGTTGCAATTGCTTTGTCTTGATTAATGAATGAGTTTCTTGAGAAGTGAAACTTCAGTGAGAAGCCGTGTTGTTAATAATTCCTGCCCTTTATCTTCTTACTTCTAGGTGGAATCATCTAACTTTTCTTGACCAAATCAGTTACAATAAAGAGCAGATGACGTTAAAGTGTGATTTGCAAGTGTCAGGTTTAGAAAACATTAGATTTTTTTTTTTTCTGCTTAATAAATAAGCTTATTTCTAATGTCAGACCCAAGCTGAGGCTCAGGAAAGGGAGCACGCTTGGCTTTCTATGATTTTTAAATGAATTGGAAATTCACTGTTTTCTGCATTGATCTGCTTGTCAGGTAAAGAGCTGGGTTTGCAATTTGCAGACAGGAATCTTAGCTGGTGTTTGCCTTTTGCCCCAGTACCTGCTTGTTGTAATGACACAGTAGCCCTTAGGTTGATAGCCAAGACACAGCCCATCTCTTTTCTTTTTCTGTTACGGAAGCTCAGTGGAGCTCAGCCACATGGCAAACTTTCATCAGTGAAGTGCAAATGGAAATGTCCTTATTTTACTTGCAAGGATGGAACCACAGTTTGGTATAGAATATCCAATGAACTCACTAAAATGGTTTTGTTTTGCATTTATTTCATTCTCTAAAACTCAATTTTCATGAAGACAACAATTTTCAGCTTTGTGATTTTGTGTAATGACTCCGTTTGTTCCTCTTTTCAGATATTGTGGATGGAAGTGACCTGAAGCAATTCTTCGAGAACAATTATTCTCAAATTTATTTTGTATTCTATGAAAACTTCATAACACTGGAAAATAGCTTGAAACAAAAAGGTAAGTTTTAGAGGTTTGCCAGCAATTGCTGAGTCAGTTTTCCCCAACTGTTCTCAAGAGCACTCCGATAGAGCTTATCTAGTGATTATCTAGTCACAGTTACCTCTATTTGCATTCATGGTTTCGTGCAGTACAGTATTAGTATTAATCATGTTAATTTTATGGTAGCAGAGAGATGAGCATGGAAATTGCTCTGAAATGTCATAACTGAAAAGAATTCTAAATACATTTTTATGGTGAAGTGTCACTTCAGCTCAAGAATCAGTCTTGTGCATTTACATACATGTCCTCTTGTCTTGTTCTGAAGTGCTGAAGCCTTCATCCTGCAGTTAAGCAGATGTCTGTTCAGCTCAAGCACTGTCAGAGATGTACAGACCAAGCGCAGTGTTGGAGCTCTGTTGGCAGGAATAGCCATTTGCTTGGAGATGAGCACTGTGACAGCAGACTCCAGTGGTCCCTCACTCGGATTTGAGAGAGAGGAGCACTGAAGTCTGGGAGCATCTTGCTCTTTTGGTATTAAAGATGAATAAAATAAGCAGAGTGCAACATCTTTGACTTCAGTTGAGTAATAGTGTGATTTTGCCATCTGTTTCATACCTTGTGTTTATGGCAAACTATTGCTTTCTGCCTTGCAGGGAATAAATCACAAAGGGAGGAGCTGGACTCCATTCTCTTTCTTTTTGAAGTAAGTTTTCCATTCCATGAAACTACTTTTTATTTTAAATCTCACTGTCATTATATGCTCACTTAGACCTTTACAATGAGAGGTGAAACCAGATGTCAGTGAAGCTGACAGTAGGTGTCTGTGACTATACAGGGTAGGAGGCAGAGGAGAACTAGAGGGGGGTGTTAAATTTGCAGATACAATGACAGTAAACAATTTATTATGCAGTGGGAATACTGGTTGAATGAATATCCAGAGTTACAAGATGTTATCAAAATTACTCGAAAATGTTACAGTAATATACCTGTCCTGAGGATGAACTCTTTGGAAGTGTCCTGGCTTCTCTCAGTAGAACTCAGGAGAAAGTGATCAGTAGTTGCACATCCTCTGTTAGGCTAAAGCTTTCAAATTAGTCTTTTCCTTTTTTCTTTTAATTTCTTGCTTCTGTGTCTTATGGAGAGTGAGTTCAAAACAACAGTTCTGCTCCCCTGTGCTCTGTCAGTGTGAAGTTCAGTGTCTGCTTATGTTGAATGTCTCACAGCAGGAGTTTGAGCTCTGCTCTTTTCACATGGAGGCATCTGTTATGACTGCAGTATTTGGTTTTGCAGCACAAGGAAAACAAAAAGGATAAGAGTTGCAACTACTGCATAGCAGTTTGAGCTGAGTGTGTGAAATGTGAATTTAACTTTCTTTTAAATGAATTAATGTTCAGAATGTAATTTGTTAAAGAGGAGAATCCTTTCCCCCAGAAGCATACGCTTCCCAACGCTGGCGCTCACAGTGTCTGCAGTGTCTAGAGAGGAAATGTTAGCCAGTTAACTTTGGCAGAATCAAATCTGGATGTCTTTAAAGAAGAGTAGACTGTGATAGATCATTTTCTGAGGGACCTCTATAATTTAGAGTAATTACCTAAATATATTTGGGTGTGAGGAAACATCACTGGACCAGATGAAAGCCTGACATATAAAATGTTTTACAAACACAGAGCAGAAGCCTCAGCACAAGCTTTGCCTGTCTGAAGTCAGGACCAGTGGTACCTTTAGGGGTTTTGGTTTGGATTTTTTTAACAATCCATTAGGTAAATTATTGGCAGGATTTCTTTCTTAAGGGTAAATACACACATCTCCTATTGATGTCTTTTTGTTAATCCATCTGCTAACTTTTTACTTGAGTCTTGCATCACAGAAGTGTTAATCTTTCCTTATACTGTGGGTTATTTTTTGGTAGAGGTGTTAGGAAAAAACCCCAAACTTTCAATGGGACTCTAGAAATTGAAGTTAAAATGAAGGTTATATGTTCTGAACTCTTTTTCTTCCCTCTAGAAATAGAAAAAAATTCATTGCATTAATGTATAGCTTGTAGTTACAATAATATTTATGCTGACAAGAAGAATGCTTGCTTCATATTACAGCATGCTGTAATATGAAAAATAGCCATGAAAACGATGACACGAAGTGCTGGATTTTTGTGGTCTCATCTCCTAACTTTTATGAGGTAACCAGTTCATCTCTGACTCGCTCCTCTGACTACCAGGCTGCATTTTCCCACTGAAATCTAAAATCGAATCATGTTTTCTGCTACTTATGATATTAATAAAAGAGTCTGCTTTAGTCTTTGAATGGGGCAGTGTCAAAGATCAGGAGCTCACACATCTGCTAGTGCCGTATTTGGGGCAGGAGAAACTCTTCTTCCCTCTCCTTCCCACCCCGGTGGAGAAGGTAAGGCTGTATCTCCTGAGCAGGGCTCTGCAGCTTAATGGGAGCTCATTAATGCACTTGCTCTGTGTCTGGAACAAGTAATTAAATTTCTGTGGCTGTGTCATTGAATGGCAAAGAGCTGATGGTTACTCACCCGCTTGAAGTGAACACAGGTGCATTCCTGGGTCCTGAAACCCAGCGTGCTGAGAACTGCCTGTTTAATGCTGCTTAGAAACATCAGGAGAATGCTCTGTGTGAGGAAAAGACAGATCCAGAGTTATATGAGAACACGGTGTTGCTTTGGGTCCCACTTGAGAGGAATTATGTTACAGCCTGGTCATCGAGAGCCCTGGGGAACAAGTTCTGTCAGATACGTGTGTGGATTTTGGAGGGATCACTTCATGGTGCTTATCTGCTGAAGTAAGTTTGCAATCCATTTGTAACACTTGCTCACTTGTAAGAGAACAGCTCTTTAGAGGGCCTTTTAACACACCGACCAAGAGTATGTCAGCCTGAGCATGGGACAGGAGAAAATGTAAATGCCGGGAAATGAAACATTCATATTGCAATCCATAGGAAACCCAACTAGTGGATTGTAAAACTGCCCATGTTTCATCTGGTGGCAGCTGAGCCGGAGGGTTCCTGGAGTTTCCTTCTAATTGGCTAAATAGGTAATTACTGAGGATTAACAGCGTCTGAATCCAGGAGCTGGGGGTTACCGCTTTGAAAATCAGTAACAGTATTTACCGAAGGAGCTGACTCCTGCCTGTCCTGGTGGCTCGGTGGGTGTCCTGCTGCTGTTCTTCAGTGACACCTAGTGTGGATGGGAGGTAAAAGTAACAAATGCCTTTTCCAGCAATCCTCTGAAAACTAAGTTGACTTGATTGTAGTTTGTTGAAGACTTAGTTTTACACATCAGCTGCACAGCTTGGCCACTCAACAGTAACATCAAACAGAATATTAAAGAAGAAATATTAATCAAAAGGGAGTAACATGAAAGGTTAACAGTTCATTTTGTGAAGTACTTTGTAATATTAATTGTAACAAAGTTCTTAGATCTAATTTTGTGTTCTCTAAGTTGCTTTGGCCTTGTCTTCTGCCAAACAGATATTCATGAAATGATAGTGACTGTAATTAGCTCTATTATTTTTCCCTGTATCACCTCAAAGACCAAAATGATGTGAGAACTGAATTTGCCTGTTCTCTGGTGAGGCCTAGATACTTACAGACTGGTAGTGCATGTTCAGAACGTGTTGGTAGTGTTTCCTGTATCACTGTTCTCTCGGATCCGAGAGCACTGCTTGTTACACTGAGTCCTGTGTCACAGGACTCACAAAAAGTGCACTGCAGCTCTGCAAGGTTTCTGGGTCCCATGGAAGTTCTGTGCCATCATTTGATTGTGAAAGCTTGGGTTTATTTTAGTTATAAAGGCTTTTTTCCTATAGCATCAGGTACCGATTCCTCTGACGCTGCATTCTTTTTGCACTGGTAATGCACTAAGAGCAGGTTGATGGTTTGATACAATACACAGATCAATTTCTTTCCATTCTCTATGATTATGTGTTAGGGTTAAGCACAACCATGTCTCTCGTGCCGATGCAGCATTCATTGCACTGATGTAACATGCTGGCCATATGAAATAGTTTATTCTTATCATTTCAGATGCACTTTCTAACCCAGTAAAGCTTCCCAAAGTCACAATAGCTGCTGTCGTTGCTAGAAGTGTCTCAGGTCCTGTCAGCGTAGCTCAGGTCTGTGCTGAGTGTATGTAGCTGGGATGATGCGTTGGGTGCCCCCACCTCCCCCAGGGGTGTGTACACAGAAAGCCTCTGGGCAGGGATTGCTTTGCTTGTTAATTTTGTAGCAGTGCATATTAATGTAACATTAATTGCACTTATGTTTCACAGCTCCTTATTTACAGAAGCATACTGTGGTTTTCATATAGCCTGTACACAAACTTTGGTTTTGCTGTAAGCTCTTAATTGCTTAAGTCCATGTTTCTTGTGGAACTTGTGGTTTCTTGAAAGAAGGTGAGAGTGAGGCCAGGCACAGGGTAAGCACAGCTTCTTAAAGGATCTGCAGAATTACAGCCCTGGTGTAACTCATACTGGCCTTGCTGTGACTGTGCTTCTAGACGATTTGCCAAGCGCCGCCTGCCCCGGTACGGCTTCCGCCCTGCTGCAGTGAGCCGAGGCTGGCAGGGGTGCTAAACCTGCACAGAGCTGTCTGCTCTGACCTCCTGTACAAGCTCAGCAGCAAAATGCTGATGTAGCCTTCCCAGCAATGTGGTGCATCCCGCCCGTACCCAGCAGGTGGATGTGAACTGGCACATGAATGTGCCGACAGCCTCTGCAGTGCTGGCATTACGCACACTCGGGTTCACGCTCTGCTTTGGCTTCTGTACAGCACGGAGCGTTTTCCCAGAGCTGATCATCAATAACTGTTGGAACTTGCCCAATATACTTTGAGCTCTTTGCTCTGTAGCAGCAGCTACTGGTCTCAGTATAGTGAGGCGCCCTTAGAAGCACATCTAAATGATAAACTACAAATGGCCACATACTCGGAGGACTAAGATGTGGTATAAATCCACTGCAGCACGGGTTGGTCTGCTGTCAGAATGGGAATGTAACAACTACAGAAGCAGCCTGAGTTTATTACTGCAGATGTGCACAAGTTACTTGTTCTGCAAATGGTGGTGTTAATTCTGTACAGGTTAGTAATTGGCTGTAATCCGTTAGGAGCCCTTTGGAAAGGTAGATTCAGACCAGACGCAGTACATACGCCACATGTGTCGGAGGAACACCGGCTGTGGTGTGGGTGACCAGGCAGGGCTCTGCACTGAACAGCTCAGGAGCATACACTGCTTTGTAGCATTGCCCAGTAATGCATGTAAACATCATTTAAAATGTACAACCAGTTCATTCTGCATCGAGATTACTGTGGATATTTTAAATAGTAGATTCCTCCACCGCGTTGTAGGTCTGCTTTAGACAGACTCCTATGTGAATTAGCAATAGTGGTTAAGCAGCTTAAAGCAAATCTCAAAGCCAGTGGTGATTTTTAGCAGGTCATTTTCAATGCCATACACCCTGTGTCAGTGACACCTTCACTGCTTTCACATTCATCATTCTTTAAAAAGCACTTTAGTACTGTGATGCTATTTTTTATGAATGTGCAAAAGGCTGTTCTATATCTGCAGCACTTTCTTGGGCTGGTTTGCTTATCTGAGGCTGTTGCTCCTAATTACTTCCTTCATTTAGAATAAAACTGAGTAAAATTGAATTCTGTTGAAATAAATTGTGTATTGAAAGCGGCCAATGTGAA